TCATTATCAAGGATGGCAGAAACCCAAGGGTTTCTTACAAAACCATGTAGAGACTGAAGAAGCAGTTAAATCCCCCAAAACCTGGGCTGATTTCTAACACTGTTTTGGTCAGTAAGTCAACTATTCACAAGGCTAATTACAAAGAGAAAGATGGAAAGCAAAAGCTGATTTTGCTGTGATAGCAAAGGAAAGCAGCAGTCCCTGCTGCATACCTATACTGTTTCTCCAGCACCCTTGGTGGATTACTTTTCCTGGAGACCCCTACAGCTTTTCTCTCCACAGGCTGTGGACATGGTGGGTTCAGCTGGGAGCCACCATGGTCTCTGTCCAGTACCAGTCCATGGAGAGGAAAAGCAAAGTAAAGCCAAAATAAGAAATAGCTGTGACACTGCTCTGTCAAAGTGAAGACCCAGTGGTTGCCCATGAAAGGACAGCGCCCGCTCCCCTTGGGAGTCTTTTCCTTGCTGTAAAGGTCATGGACAGGTTCTGCCATAAAGCTCCTTTCCAATTCCACAGGAGAAAGGATCTACACGCATGAGCAGCAGTTTTTAAGTGGTCTGTGGTCTAGCTATGAAACAGAGCTAATGGCAGACGCCGCTGTAGGTGAGACCTAGAAAGGAGAAACCAGGATGCCAGGGTAGGTCTGACAGGTACCCAGGGGAGAGGTATACAAGCTCTTGCAAGGGCTTATGAAGGCCACAATTCATATCTAATTGGTGCGTCACATAAGAGAGAGAACCATTCACATGTGGAAGTTCCAGACTTCCCACAGGACAAACTCCAGCCTCACTCAGAGAATAAATCATGTAGCAGGTTTCCAAATGACCAAGAGCCCTTTAGAATTATGTTTTCAAATGCACTTATTAGTTTGACTGCTTCTGAAAATCTGGATCTCAGGTGATGAAATAGGAGATGGGATAAATCTGACTCTTAGAAGCTGTCAGAATCATAAATATGAGGGATGAAAATCCCTGCTAAAACAACCCTTCTGCATCAAGCCTATTTCTAGTGTTTCCATGCAGGGCATTTTTTTAAAATCATATGTTACTGTTCACAGGAATGTGTGCTTCTGAGTAATTCCTGAGGTCCTTTAAAAGTATTTATTTGAATGTTTTTCTTCTTTCAGTTTGTCACTTGCTCACATATCAGAAGTTCAGAAAAAGGCACAGAGCACTACTGTGCTCTCAACCAACTCCTTCAATAGTCCCTAGGCAGCTGTAACTCAGCAGGAAAGTTAAGCTGCTTGGATTTGTTAATTAGTTGGCAGCTCTCCTCAAATTTTCAGCAGCAATGCTTAGTGCTATAGGTCTGTTTCCAGGCATACACTTTCATTTTGCTGGTTCATCAAGCAAATCCTGAAACAGGAAGAACAAGCACTGAATTTAATAGGAGTTAATGCATTACTTTGCAAGTGCTTCATGGCTGAGAGTCTACAGTCTTCCTTTCAGCAATGTGACTGAGACAGCTGCAAAGTGCTTGTAATGACCTCCACTAAACGAGTCAGTTGGTTCAGTCCAACTCCCAGCAGATAAATAACAGCAAACACATCTACGCTTCAGCTATTTACCCAACTTGGGGAAGGAAATAGTGGCTGTGAGCCTTGTCCTGCTGTAGCTGCACACAACCACCAGGACTCTGTACTGCAATGAGCGTGCGGTTAACCCCGCAACTGAGACCTTGCAGACACAGTGCGACTGGATGTCCCTGTCACACAAACCACCCAAGAGCATTAACAGTCTCCAACATGCATCAGTTTAAACATATTTTAGAATATTATGCCCAACTCCTCAACACCGAGGGTACTTTCAGACACCATGTTACCTGGGATCTTCCACATTATGTGCACTGCAGGACACTATTTCAATTTTCAGAAAAAATGCTGGACAAAACCTGAGTCACCTTTGAGCACTGGAAGGGTCCAGTTTTTAAAAGCCTAGGAATTTTCTTTATTTCTGTTTCATCAATAAGCAATAATAAGTAGTAATAATAAGTAATTAGCACCCTCAGTACTATTTCTACCTTGGTTTTCTGGACTCCATTAACAAAATACACACTGAAAAGTTTTCTTTCATGAGTAGGTTTTCTTCTGTGGCTTTTCCTTATTTCCTGATAACAACGTAAGAGAATTTCAGTAGGCTGTATGTAGTAGATGTGAGTTCTATTCACCTGAGAAGAGGTATTGTAACCTACAGCCATATATAATTATTTGTACTTGTGCACTAAATGCATGGCGTAAAAATTAAATAAAATGTACTAACATATTCAGAGGTTAGTAAAAGGAGTTTACCTAGTTTTGTTTGGATGAGAGAGCATTTACACATTTCTCATACATTTTGGATAACTGGGTTTATCCTTAGTTTGGATGTATGTCTATACAACTTCTATACAGTCTGTCTGCTCTTCCCTTACAGCTGAAAAAAGGTCAGGAAAGCAATTTCATAAATAATTTTTAATTATCATGGTATAGCAAAAGTGCCACTCCAGGCAGCATTTGGATGGCAGAAAGAGCTGACAGCGAGTGTGGCCCTTCAACACAGCAGAGCAAGAGGACTAAATTATGTTTTAATGCAAACTGTGCAAAGAGACAAACGTTGCTATTCTCTGTTATTAATGTCCTGAGGGACAGATCAGACAGAAAGAACCAGTAGCCAAAAAACAGCACAAGCATAACTTGGCAGCTGGGAAGAGGACTGGCCACTGTCACCCATGCACGTGGCCAAGGCAAAGGCACCTGCCAAGACAGGGGATCCGTGGCAGGGCTCTCCACCCACAGTGGTCCCAGCCAGGCAGTTTTGAAAAATACTCCCTTTAAAATCGTTAGGGATGTAATTTGTTTATAAAATACTGTGTCATAAGGTCTGTAGTACCTCTTTCTTCAGGCTAACTTATGCCAACTGTTAAATATATGTCTTTAAAACCAGTATCTGCAGTAGAAGGTAAATGTAACATTGTTTGTTTCACTGGTGAAGTGGTTCAATTCTGATACTGCTGTTCCTACTTTTCAAAGAAGTCACTCTCAGTTTGGAGCTGAGTAGGACTGCAAGTGTTTACCCATACAGTCGTACATTGAATAGAGATATTATCACAGTGCTTGAAACAACATTTGCTAGCTTCATTGCTTAAGTTGAAGAATTACAAGAAATTCTGAAAAAAAAGTGTTACTGGTAAACATCCAAGTTTTTCCAAGAGATAGTTTAAAGAGGTCAAATATGAAATATTTCCCCTTTCTTATCCCCACAGGAACAAGCAGGTACTACAATTGTTTTTCCATTTTTAAGGTGGCAAAGATAGCTCTAACTGGTTGCATTTCCTGGAGCTATAATTATTTAATACCTTTATTTTTTTTATTATGTATGCCCCCCTGGATTCTAGGGCTTGAAAGGGGCCACAGAGATGACTAAAAGTGATAAACATCCTCGTAGTGATGGTAGTGGTTTCCCTGATTCTCCTCTCCTTTGGTATCACAGACTCGTCATAATGTGGGAACTCAGTCTTTGACTTGCCATGCAGTCAGCTGGCACAGAATCAGAAAAGTAGGCATTAATATTGTCATCTAAAATCTGTTTAACAAAAATATCCCTTATTGCAATGCATCCAATTTAGCTCAGTTTCCAACCAGGAGGTGGCAATCTTGCTTCATATTTTGCTGTTTCCAGCCAGACTTTGGCGGCAGAACTGGGACCTGAGTGCCCTGCAGAATAAATGGTGAAAACGAACTCAATTTTAAACTGGCAGCTACAGTCTTATTATAGGCACAACATCAAAAGAAAAGGAAAAAAGCCCCTCATCTCTAGAGATAAAGATATTCTCACACTGAGCCTTTCAACTGAAAATAATATAATTTTTTTAAGTTGCTCTTGGTAGGTAAAATTATTTTGCATCTGGTCTTTTACTTATATTTAGGGCTGAGACACTGATCATGGGCCTATTTTATAGGCAGAACTTTTAAAGTGGAAGTAGGTGCAATGGAAAGCTTTTCTTTCTTTACTGGAGGTATGATTTGCCTTCCTCACAAAATGAACACAGAGGAGCTCTGTATGGGAAAGACGTAAATTTTGCTTCCTGGAAGAACCTGGAGTAATAAAAAATTAATAGGTGTCTGAACTCACAAAAAGATTATTTGAATAGGTATTCAGAAAAAACACACATACACTACTAAACAATTCAGCCCTGGTTTGCAGAGAAAATTAAAATAATTTCCCACAAATAAAGGGGAAGGAGTTACTTCTTACACAGGGCCTACTCCCACCTGCCACACCTTACTCGGTGAAAGAAATGGGAGATTTACCACGGCAAAGTCTGTGATCACTACTGAACTGGAGGAAACACAAGTCTGTGATGATTTTTCACTCCCCAGCTCTACTCTTCTCCCACGGCGTTTCTGTGCATTTTGGGAAAGTTTGGCCATTCTGCCTTTCCAAGGTGCTGCATGTAGACAGAGACAAGCCAAGAGACAGAAGTGTATCA